CAAATTTTTATTAGATTAAGTCTTTGGACTTTTTTTAAAGCCACAAAAAAGCTAAAATATATATATATATATTTTTTATAGATATTATTCTGTATCAATGCATACAAATCTACAACGCATGGGCTAACAGTTGCATAGTAGTCTATTTTATAGATAACAGAAACTTCTTTTTGAATCCCATATTTAGGAAGATTTAAGTTGTTCCAGTTTTTGCTATCGCAAACAGTACAGCAGATATCTTCATATTGTGTCTTAAAGCATTCGTGTAATTATTTCCTTTGAATAAAATCCTAGAAGTAGAATTCCTTGGTTGAAAAAATTTACATTTAAAATTTTGATATATGTTGTCAAATGGCTCTTCTAAAATGCTACATCAAGTTCTTATCTTGAAAACAGAGTGGCCATTATTATTTTTTTGCCAAACTGGCAGGTGACAAGTGTTAAATCATCATTGTTTTAATTGGAGGGTCAGGATCCGTCCATGAAATTACAGGCTATTTGATTTCTCCTTCCCCACGATGCCTATACAGTTCCATTCTTTCGTATTCTAAGTCCAGAAGAAATTTGTTGCTGAAAATAACCCATGATTTATACTTTTAACCAAGTTATTACAGTTTTACCTTATAATAGCAAAAAGATACCTCAGAAATCACAAAGGGAGAGTCACATCATTTTCCATAGCAAAACGAGGCTAAGTTTGGAACTGGCTTCTGTCTTTCCCCATAATCCATTTTCTTCCTCACAGAAGGCAACTTTTCTTAAGTGCTTTTGGGGTCTCCTGCAAGTATATTTGAATTTTCGAGGTGCCGATCTTATTTCTGTGGCCTTTTTGTAGTTTGGAAATCTCAAAGCTACTATAGCACTTTCTCCCTGGGCTTAATCAAAGGGCTTGACAATCTTGTGAGGTGTCACTAATTTTGTTGCTGAGTACCACAAACCGCTGAAAATAACACATTTTACCGGTGTGTCCGTGAGGACCCTCTCGATTCTTGGACTTAGGTTGAGTTTATAGGTTTCTAATTACATGACTTGTTGGCTTATAAAGTGCTTTCATGTTCCTTTATCTCATGTGATCTCTGTGACTCTGTGGTCGATCACTTGTGAAAGAGGAAAGGGAGAAGGTGTTCTCAGCCTCGTTTTACAGAAGAAATCAAAACTCTAAAAGATTAAATAAATTGCCTAATATCTCTCAGTTAATGGTGACAAGATCCTTTCAGATCCATGATCTTCCAGGGTATCTAGATGCAAGTGGAAATGTTTATATTTTCAATTTTATGCTGTAATCTGTAAGATGCTCTAATTCTGTGCCAGTTGTGTACATTTGGGGTAAGGATTTCCAGAACTTTTTAAAAAAAATTTTTTTTAGCCCAGAAAAGCCCAGAAACATCAAAGGCATACCATATTTAAGAAGGAAATTCATGATTTTCTACTAACATGTCAAATGTAAATTTTAGGTTAAGATTGAGTATATATAATTTATTCCTTTTTAAAAACTCTGTAATCATATGCAAACTCAATTAAAGGTTAATTACGTGTATATTTTGGCCTCATTTAATAGGAGTTAAAAGTTCATTTTGTAATGCATTCATTACAGAATCGAGGAGGAAAATTAAACACATACCAAAGGAAACACATATGAATAACATACCCTAGTACAAATGTGTCTCGAAATTCATTAGCTATTACTGAGGAAGCTCCAGTTAGGACCATGTGGTGAGAATTCTACCACGAGGGAAATACGTAGACCAGGAATCAAGAGTGAAAGAAAAGATATCTGCTTTTTGTTAAAACCTGAAGTGCGCTATAATTGGGTTGAGTTTCTGCCCAGATGGCCCCACTCATGCTGACATCTGTGAAGTGTATGTAAAACTGTGTTAGGTGTTATTTTCCGTGGCCGCCTGGACACATGTCCCTCTATGAAAAGCCAGGCCTTGGGAGTCCTTCGTGCTGACCCCTGCTCGTCCACGCTGAGAAAGCTTGGGCCTCCCACCAAGGACATTCCCATGCCTTTCATGACTGGAAACGACTTGGAATTCTTTAGAGCAGTTATAAATATTTGGTCTTTGATCTGATAGAAATCAATGGCAAAAGTATAGATTCGAGTCTATATCGGAGTCCACATCAGATTTACGGTACTGTCATCTCTGCAAATTTAAGTGAAAAAAACACAAAGGCTTCTTTTAAGTTAAATGGTGAAATGCCATGTTCAAAACCATCTATGTATTTGATTGGTATTGTTCGAAGTGAGAAGTCTAGCTTAGACCCCGTCAAAGAGAAACGCGCCCCCCGCACCCGCATCTACGAAAATTGTTTTTCAAGTATGTTAATGGACAGAGTCATTAGTACATTGTTTAATTTGTTGCCACGTTTTACAAGGGACTAACAAGTCATGTCCTCCTCCTCAGACAACAGAAAGATCAGGGTCAATGGAACCAAGGAGCCCATTGAGTTTAAATCCAACCAGTGGTTTGGAGCGGCGGTGAGAGCTCACGGAGGGCGAGTGGTGGTGAGTACGAACTGCATGGTCTGCGGGGTGCTCCGAGATCAATGTACACTGAGACGCTCGAAACCCACATTCGCAAAGGTCTCATCATTTAAGAACACGTCGGACTTTCGGAGATAGGCTTCTCAGCATTCTGAAGCAGTCACTGAATGCTTAACAGCCAAGAACCTTTAGTGCTTAAAAGCTATTAGAAAATCAAGCTTGTTTTACAGACGATGAGGTATTTTCAAATATTTCGGAAAAAAAAAAAAACAAACAAAACAAAGGGAGAGAGAACAATAAAAGTTACATCTTAAAGAGGTAAATATTTTATTGCTTAAGATTGATTTAAAGGGCTGATTAAAAATTGGCCGGAGAAATAGGACCGCTACTTACTGCTAGGATTTGTTCAAAGTTAATCTACTGTAGTATTATTGATCCTTTTTAGAACTAAAGGAAAGCTCTATTTAAAACTATAACTACTAACGACATGATTCTCTGAGTACGTTAATACTTTGTAACAACAAAAAAATCTCACTCCCAGATAGATATCTTTCAGCTTTAAAATGCTATGACTCTGTGATTCTGTTCTCTTCTTACTGAGTGATGATACATGTCTAAGTTACTGAGAAATAAATGAGAGTATTAGCTAATGTGGAAATCTCTTGTTGGAGGAATTTTTCAAACTGTTGGCTTCAATTTTCTTACAAAAATAAAGCAAGTACTTTGGCTTTTAAGATTTCCTTATAGCTGTTTGAATTGTGATTTAATAAGTATCTAAAAAAAATGCCTTTCTTTATTTGGTGTATGGTTAACCCCCCCAAAAATTTTTACATAAAACAGGTAATGTATAAAACTAGAGATAGCCTTCTCTAGTCACAAACCCAGAATTTATGATATGCTCTCTGTAGAACTGTATTTGCATTAATATACTTTTCACATTCCAGAATTGGTAAAAAGTTTTTATCTTTTGGTGGTGTATGACCTATGTGAATTACTATCGAAAAGCGAATGCCATGTAATAACTATGTAGGGTTAAAAATTTATCTACGACATAATTGTTGTGCATTTATTCAATATTTGTAGAAGACTTCAGAGTCAATGAAAATAAAAACAATGCACCAAACTCATAATAAAAATGAGTAATCTGGGGGTATGCTTGCATCTTCAAGGAAAACGCATAAGAACTAAGATAATATACATTTTAAGTTAATTTTGTTCTTTGAGCACTGAAACTTAAGAGAATTGAGAATTAAATGCTACCCTAAGTTACACCGATTAGAACTGCAAACTGCTGTGAACAGAAGTATCATTTTGAAGATCTAGGTATCAGGTATGTTAAGTTTGAATCAAAGCCCAAATATATCACATAGTGTGTTTCACGTCAGCCTGAAATTGAGCAGATATAAAAAGAATAACATGTTAGAGCCGACAGCAGGCAAGCACTGGGAAGAATTTTCATGGCATTTAAATATCCTATGGTGACAGAGAAGGTGAGGCCAGCTGGCATAATGCTCAGCCCCACAGGCGAATGCTTTCACTGCTCAAACACCGTTTCTTTACACTATTCGCACTTTATGTTAAATATAGGAACCACATAATTTGTCGGTTCCCTAAGAGGGCCCTAAGATAAACTCTCTTACATGAGTAAGAGAGTTTTTAGGTACTGGCAGAGACCTCGCATGACAAAACCAAAAATCTTAAGTCGTAGAAGCATCTTTCTTGAGAATATAAGTCATCTTGACTAAAAGTAGTTATACCTTGGACCGATCACCAAAGACACATTTGGAATCGTGACAAGACTTTAAAATCAGGAACTGCCTTCACTTTTCTGGCATTATTTTAAATGTGATGTCATCAAAATAGGAGATAAGCTAGTGGTTCCATATGTTAGGAATCTGTAATTCTGAGTCCTCAGAAATGAGTGCTTGAATAAGGTAAAACATTTATGGAGGATTCAAGCTCGTGAAACAAGTCAAAATAACGCCTGTGTTTCCTACACGTTTATTTTTATGGCCTCTCTCATTCCTAGCAAAATTAATGCTATTTAATTTACATAAAGAGGATTTCTTATATCTTCTCTCACACTTGATATCCTTTTGAATATCATTCTCCTGTTAGAGTCTAAGCTTTTGACAAAGCAACTAGAACATTTCATACGAGAACTATGTTCTACTTACTGTTGTTTAAATTATTTTTGTTTTGCCATGAATAAAAACCATGAAGTAAAAAATAAAGCCAAGAACACTGTGATAAGGAAATGGCACTGTGTCCGAAAGAAAGTCATTGTTTAAAAGGTCATAAACTATACCTTCGGTGATAACCTAGGGGAAACCACAAAACAGGTTTATAAATTTGTCTGCATCCTTTGATTAGAAAGTAATTTTTTGTTTGTTTGTTTTTTAAGCAACAATTAGACAAGAAAGGAACTAGTTCTCATTTTAAGGCATCATACTGATTCATTCAATGTTTAAATGGCCATTTACTTTTATGAGAGTCCCATAAAAAAAAAAATACATACATGTATGTGTATATATATATGAGTTCTTTGCTTTGTGGAAATATTTGCTTTTGCCAGGTTACTCTTACTTAATTTTAAATTCTCTAAGGAAAAATGCATTCCTTTCTGTATGTTTAATTTGTTCCAATTTTATGGTGCATTAATGTTAACAAATTGGCTTTGGAAGTTTAATTAACTCTGACTACTAAAGTACTCATTAGCATGCTGGAGGTCAAATAATTCACCTAATAATTTAATATAGTTTGTCACAAATTTAGGTACATTAAACAACAAGTCAAATCAAATCACAGTATGAAGGACCTACATAAAAAAAAAATATTTATTGTCTTTGATGCTTCCTTCACAGGCTTGTGCTCCCTTGTATCACTGGAGAACACTTAAGTCCACACCCGAAAAGGACCCAGTTGGCACTTGCTATGTAGCAATTCAGAATTTCAGTGCATATGCTGAGTACTCTCCTTGTCGGAACAGTAAGTTATTTTTATTCCTTGAGACTGAAACTTAGCTCAAGAGCTTTTCTGTTGTAGACAGGGCAGGTAGTGTCAAAACACCGTTGATAAGGAAAATGAGGTGGGGGTAAGACCTCTAAGACTACTGAGAGTCTTAGAGGATGTCTTGCTGTGACATGAGGGCCACGGAATTCTGCTGATCCTCTTCTGCGTTTTAGAAAATTTCCAGGTTTTAGGTATTTTGGAATAGAATTGATTGGTTCCGTACTTTAGGACTTAAACTCTCGGGTGGTATTCAAAATGCACATTGCGATCTAGAGAAAGCTGACCACACAATTTACCTGTTAATTCCAAGAATGGTGTTAGCTGGTGTAAAAAAGAAAAAAAGAAAAAGAAAAAGGAAAAGAAAAAATATACATAGACAGAGCCACTTTAAAATGGAGCTGGCACTGCCATCCCAGAACACCCTTGTCCATCTTATGCCTCAACCCTCTGGAATGTTAAAAAGGGCAAAATAACCTTTGGACTGGGCCTAAAGCAACACTGTGTCCCAAAGACCTGTTTGCAAAAATAACAAGAAAGCAGATACTATGACTACCTGACCTGATGACTACCAGACTGAAAAGTAAAAACATTGTTTAGCATTAGCGTCACTATATTAGCTTTCCTGCACCCACCGCAATGCCTTCCTTCTGTTTATGTCACTGTTCCCCTTCCCTTTCTCATAAATACCCTGTGCCTCTGTCTCTTAATCGAAACACTATTTGTCATTTTGCCTGAACGAGTGATTTCCAACTAGCTTTTGTTTTTTATCTTAAGTCAATGCTCGTTGCCTCTCACTTGGAAAGGCTTTGTATTTGTAGGTAGACGCGAGCACGCTTGGACCTGGGGACACACTGCTCGTGAGCTCTCGGTCCTGCCTATGCTCTCGGTAGCTGTCGCTTTCTTTGGCAGCTGCATACTTGGGTTTATCTGCATGCGATGATCTTCTTCTTCAAGTGTTTAATCCCCGTTTTTCAAAAAAGACTCTGCATGTAGAGTCCTCGTCTCAGCTGGCAGTCCCGAGAAGCATCCTTTAAAGTGAGCCTGTGAGTGTCATCTTTGGGGCACTGCTGTTGAATTCCCTCATCTCGGTGGCATTCTCAAGGACTTTGGGACATTATTAGCGAGTGGTTGATTGATACACTCAGAGTCCCCTTTCGAACTCGTCCACTTTCTATGTAACTCGTAGGTCCCTGGAATTTATCAGGAAGCAACCAATGGATTTTTATTCTTTTTTCTTGACGGTCCATAAGACCACATTGAGGAAAATGGCATTAGAAAGAACATTCTAGTGATTGATTTCGGAATATTGATTTTTAAAAATTCAATCCCAAATAAGATTCCCAAAACTACAAGTAAAATTTTCCCCATTTCGGTAATTATTTTTAAAATTCGAGATTACTTTAGACAGGATAATGAACAAATATAAGAAGTAAACCAATGAAGATAAAGAATGGATCGCTGATGATGGATGCCAGATGGGAGTGGGGTTGGGGGACTGGGTCGAAAAGGGGGAGGGATTAACAAATTGTCAGTGACAAAATAGTCATGGGGATGTGAAGTACAGCATCGGGAATATCGTCGATAGTATTATAATAACTATGTATGGTGCCAGGTGGGTACTAGACTTACTTGGGGGGAGGGGGTGGATCACTTCATAAAGTACATAAATATCTAGCCATTATGCTGTACACCTGAAGCTAATGTAAAATAATATTGAATGCCAACTGTAATTGAAAAATGAAAAAATAATGAAAAAAATCACTTAGATGATATTGTGTTACAATTTTAAAAAGAACAGACCAGCGAGAATGAACAGTTAACGATACCACTGAGATTTGGATCTCTAAAGGACTGGAAATGGAACAGCCAATTTTGATGGTCTGGGGTGAGGATTTTGGCACGAAAGAGATTATGTCTTCCTGCTCAAAAATACTAAAATAAATCAGCCACTTCCTAACATTATGACAAATGTCTGCTGAATGCATGTCAGTGAAATTAGGATTTTACTTTAAGTGGTTTTAGAACAGGGGTTTCTTGTAGATAATGAGACCTTGTTATATATTCAACATGTGTTCACTGAAAACACTGAGCACTAATTCTGTGGTTAGGGAATAAAGCACAGAATGAGAAAAAACCAGCCCGTCTTCAAGAAGCTTACATTTTAGCGGGGGAGACAGACAACAGACATGTAAATAAATAGGTTGAGATTCAGCAATTCCACTTCTGGGTATATATCTGAAGGAAATGAAATCACTATCTTGAAAAGACCTGCACTCCCTGCTACCCCCCCATTCATTACAACATTATTCACAATAGCCAAGACATGGAAACAACCTAAGTGTCTATCGATAGACGAATGGATAAAGAAGATGTGGTATATACACAATGGGATATTAGGTAGCTGTAAGAAAGAATCCTATTTGTGACAACATGGATGGACCTTGGGGGTATTACGCTAAGTGAAATAAGTCAGACAGAGAAAGACATGTTCTCTGTATGGAATCACTTATATGTAGAATCTAAAAAAACAAACAAACAAACCTCATAGATACAGAAAACAGATTGATAGTTGCCAGTGGTGGTGGCGGCGGCGGGGGGTGGAGGGGACTAACTGGATGAAGTTGGTGAAAAGGAATAAACTTTCAGTTATAGATCCGAGGAATATAGTCACCCTGTGCAGCACAGTGACTATAGTTAATAATACTATACTGTATATTTGAAAGTTGCTGAGAGAGTAGATCTTAAAAGCTCTCATCCCAAGAAAAAAGAAAAACTAGTACCCATGTGGGGTGATGGATAGAAACTAAACTTATTGTGGTGATCATGTCACAACGTATACATATATCAAATTATGTTGTACACCTTGGACTAAGACAATGTTACATATTAATGACATCTCTATAAAAATGTTTAATGAGTAAATAAGTCCCTAATATAATGTCAGGTATGAAAAGTATTACAAAGAAAAATATAACAAGGCTGGAAAGAAGGGAGTGACATGTCCTGGGTGGTGTAGGAGTTTTAGACAGGACAGTGGGTAGGGCTTCTCTCCGCAAAGGACTGTTGGAGCAGGGATGTGGGGAGATGTCCAGGCACAGGGCTAAGCAACGAGAGGCATATTTTGTGTCATGTTCCACTGAGGGTGCTGCGCAGCTGCATTCAGTAAGAGGTCATCATTATTATGCTAATGATTAAAGTCCAGTGGAGAAATAAATTAAACCCCGAATTTACTCAGACTTAATGGTAGAGCTGAGGTTCAATACGAAACTTGTTTCATCAATTTTTACCCCTATCTATATCATAGTTCTCGTGATTTGCTAAAGATACTTCCCCATAATGGTAAACTATTGTAGCTAAAAGGACAAGCCCATCTTTCACGAGCCTCTCTTGCTTTGATGCTATATCATATTCTTTCGATTAATGTCTAGGATAATCTTTTATAAAACTTGTCACTGCTTCTTGTTCTGCCTTTTTGACTGACTGCCTATGTGATGGGAGAGCTCAGATTAAAATACAGCACGTGACATCTAGACTTGTGGGATAAGAGTTGCAGTGTGAGCTTGAGCCATTATCTAAAAATATAAATTATGGTAAGCTTGCATCTTGAGTTACATGGCACACTATAATGCCAATTTATTTACTGTTTTCCTAAATTATAGATTGACAAAGTTAAGAGTGGAGTTGAGTTGCAGAAGAGTTAAATAAATTGCCAGGAGTTCTTTTAACTCTAGTACACATCCACAGTGTTCACATCCTCATGGTCTCTCCCTAACTATGAGTATTTCTTCCTCCTCCAATTCACCCGAGGAGCAGACTTCCTGTCTTCCTTGGGAGTTCACAGTTCATTAACACAAAGCCGGCTTGTTCATGAGCATATGGTCAATCTCACAGAACAGTAACATCAGCAATATTATTTTCAAAAGAGAGGTTAAAGAAAACTCTCACGTTCACCCCCACCACAAACTCCTCCACTGAGGCTTGGCGTGATGCGGGTGCTAATCTGCTCATTCATATTAATGGCACGCCTGTAGCTCTTATGGTCATTCATAAATCGGTGGGGATGGTTTACACACACCCTTCATTCTACTTGGGAAGCCAGCAAAGAGTAGTGAGCAGTCAGCATGAGTCCCTGGATTCCTGAGTTCACTCTGGGACATAACTGTAAAGTTTATAGGAGCTCTGAAATTCCAGGAAGAAAAGTTCCTTCAGCTCTCATGAACTATAATTCTAAGAGGAAAAAAATTCCTTTGCAAAACAAAGGACCTCACAGTCCCTTATAATCACTGTTTATAACGGATATTTGAAGTTGGTTATTTTCTCAATGAATTTTATGAAAAATTACTATTTTTTCTTTTTTTTTCCACTATTCTGTTTTGAAGCAAAATAATTTCAAAGAACGGTCATATTTCTTCCCTTTTGAATAATTTACAATGATAAAAATAAAAAAGTCAGAGTTGATTTTCAAAAGAATTTTTAGAAAGGTTTGCGCATTAAAAAAAAGATGTCTTAAATATACTCAAGTTTCCTTATGTATGCTTACATAATTTTATATCATGTGTTCATATATATTTCTGGATGCATACAAATATTTACACATGTGAACTTCTAGAAAAATGGTATATAGACATTTGAGGTTATAGAGATGAGCTTTTAGGGAACTTCATAGCATCTATAACTATAAACCACAAAATATAGTTAAATAAGGAAAAATTTTGCTAAAATACATCTCAAGGTGTTGTGCGTTTAATTTGTTAAGAATAGATCTCATGATAAAAGTTTTTATCACAAAAAAGAAAGCAAGGTACAGAAGAAATCTTTTAGGAGTGATGACTCTGTTTCCATGGTGATGTCATGAGTGTATACACATGTCCAAGCTCACCAAAACGTACACACTAAAATGCATAATTTTTTTGTATACTAAGTATACCTCAATAAAACTGAAAAATAGAATTTAGCTTAAAAATACACAAAGTAATAATTGATATTTGAATTAAAAACAGATCTTATCTAAAAAAACAAAAACAAACCCACAGTGTATGAGGTAGAAAAGCATTTTAAAATATAAAAGTAATAAAAGTAGCATCTGGAAAGAATGAATGATGACAATGCTAAAATTAGCCAAGTACTAACCGAGGGAAAGGAAAAACAGAAAACATTCTAGGAAAAGCTGGAAAGGCCAGATTTATTTCAAAATGCTTCTGGAACAGGCACATGCCTAGTCTATAAATTTTTTTTGTGATGATGTATATTTCCTTTCCTGACCTCTTCTTTTAGTTTCCGTTCAGAAATATCCTTGATAAGAAAGAAATAATTATTTACATGTTCATATCTAATCATATGACTTGAGATTCCCCGCTCCTGAACTCCATATTGGTTTTCATTTGAGCACTTTATAAGTTGTAGAATCTCTAAGTACAAGTGACAAGTCGTAAATTCCCGATCCTAATATCCCAGAGACTTTTTAATAACAATATTGTGGGAATCCACGTGTTGGCCAGCCTACAAGTTTAAAAAACTATCCACAAATAAGGTCCTATTGGACATTCGGTTCACAAACGGTCTTGGCTAGAGTACAAAATAAGCCATTATTTGAGAGTTTTCTCTCTTGTAAACACTAACATCGAGTGTCCCTGTGAGATTCACTGTGACCAGACATGCACTTTCATAACTGGCCTAACTAACGACCATAGAATAGTGTAAAGTTAATTTCCTATTAGAGATCATAAAAACTGGAATCTTTGCTGATGCCCCTGGCAGATCATATTTCACAGGACACGCAGGTGACACAGAAACACATCACTGCTCCTTGGAGAACTGCTGCTTGGGACATAGTTGAGAGATGGAGACTTTGTTTCCTCGAACAAACACCAGTTACAAAACCCAATATAATATAATAACCCCAGGGGACATTATTCATATGGATCTTACTATATAGAATCACAGTGATATTTGGGGCAAGAAAATAGATTGAAATCGGTGTGATAAATTACTCGGCATAAATTTAAAAGTAAATATAAAACACATATTGATTATTTTAAATTTAGAAGTCTATAGAGAAAACAACAGAGTATCCTGAATTGGTTATTAAAATATTTCTTGGGAATGACGATGTTATAACATTTATATATTTTGATCATTCTAGGTAACGCTGATCCTGAAGGCCAGGGTTACTGCCAAGCAGGATTTAGTCTGGATTTTTATAAGGTGAATTCCTTTGGTCTCATAGCTTCTAATATTTATCTTACCTATTAGATTTTTTTTTTCTTTCTACCTCTCACTTCTGCCCCGCTTAGGTATATATCTAACCTCTTTTGACAACTTCTTTAAATTTTTGTTTGTTTGTTTACTCTTTATTAAAATAATCTATGCACATGATAACATATTAAAATAATACAGAAAGACATATGATGAAAAAGTCTTACTTCCTACCCCTGTGGTAATCATTTTTAAATGAGAAGAAAACCGCAAAAACTCAGTAATGTGCTTCTGAAAAGATCACAAGCATCTGTAAATTGTTTTATCTCCTCACTGTGAGCGATAAGATTTAACATGTGTTAAAATTCACATATCCTTTCAGGAAATTAAAAACAGAGCTGTCTAGTGAGAATATAGGAGGCAAAGATTCCATGCTTTTAAAAATAGTATAAATTTCATCAACATCTGAAGTTTTCTTCTTTGTCTTTTTTTTCCCCACTGAAAATTAAAGATGCAGAATATAGAAGGTGCGGTTGTAAATAAGAGAGAAAATTTGTATTTGCTAGTCTGGAGTTTTTGCTCTCTCCCCTGGGAAGGGTGGGTTTGCAGATACACTAGGAAAAATAGGCATTACTGTGACCTTGAGATAAATAGGAACCAAATTTTCATTTTCTTGCCAAGGCTCAAAAGACCATGTCTGCGAAATTGCACAGCATTAAATATGTAGATATTTTGCTTACCTGCGGCAGTGCCAAAAAAACTGAATTTATGTATTTTCAAGGGAGAGAATTAAACTCAACTCATCGAGTCAAATTAAAAGTATTTAATATCACACTAAATAATTGAAAGCCAAAAAGGAAAGAAAGTGGCCTGCATAACTCAGATAGAAGGGCCTCTTTCATAAACTGTTTTTTAAAAATATATCTAATGAATCGTTAGAGCAACGCTTATCAACAATGATTTATTACCCTTTAAGAAAATCGCAGTTTTTCTTTTCCAATTGTTGTTTCTGTTTTGTAGAACGGAGACCTTATAGTCGGCGGTCCTGGAAGTTTTTATTGGCAAGGTATGTTGCGTTAGCAGAGGTGACATGCCCATTTGTTTTCACTCACAAGGAGAAGCAGCAGGATAACATTAAATATTGACTCTTTATGACATTAATTTTATATCCATATGCATAGTTTCTCATATTCATAGTTTATACTTTGTTGTATAAACGCTGTTTTAAAATACTGTTACAACTTAATTCATTTATTCACCAAATATTTACTGAAGCTGTGCCCAGCTGTGTGCTAGATGCTGGAGACACAAAAATGAGTTAAGAGAGACATTGTTCCTGCCCTCATGGAGGTCACTATATCTAGAGAAAGACCAGGCATTGATCGAATGCTCAGGCATGATGCTCGCTGTGAAGGCAAGGTCAGCCAGGGTGGGCCATGAAATCATGGGTGGCTTCTCCAGCACGGCTGCATGAAAGTGTGCTATGTCCTCGGCACACTGGCAGATGGGGAGCTGATAGACAGCCTGTGCTCTGCTTAGGGAACCCTGAACCTTGGCCAGGATAACGTTTGCCCAAGGGGATGACTTCCTCTAATTCTTATAAAGGTGTCACATGGGCCCTGGGGTGTTGCAGCAGCCCTAAGGTCTAATGATTTCACAGGAGGCAACTCTGAAACTGAGATCTGAAAGTTGAGCAGGAAGCAACTAGGTGAAGAGAGGAGGGGCTGTGTGAAAACGTCCTCGAAAGTCTCTTGATCCTGTCCGAAACATCCACACAGGTATCTGGTCCCCACCAAAGGTCCTTGATATTCAGTCCTGTCCAAAATGTTCACAGAGACATTTGCTCTGTGTCAACCCATCTACCTAACCCCATGTGCCATTGCCAACGAAGCTACTGGGGAAGAAGGGTATTGCTGCCAGTATAGCCACAACACAATTATTGGGCCAATAAAATATAACAATATTTTTTATGTATTAATCCTGTAACCCCAAAGTATAAATAAACATTATGGGTTGTTTGAACCTAGGGATTCTTTCTAAGCATGGACGTTTGGACGGGTCCAAAAGTCAAGGACCTTTTGGCGTGGACCAAATGTCCACTAATCGGAAATGTTGTATGGCCTCAAGGAGTGCAGTGAGTGAGGATGGAGGGACGTCAGGGTGACTAGAGGTTACGAGAGGGAGGGAAGAGCCATTGAGTGGGACGTTGTGGCCCCCCCACACGCGGGGCCCACCAGCCAAGGTGAGCCGGTTTGTCTTCATCCTAAAAACAATAAGACTAGTTTATCCTATAAACAATGTGGGTTGTAGGAGTTTTAAATGGATGGTCTTAGCTAGAGTAAGAATTTGTCGTTTGTCCCGAGAATCATGAGAAACCACTGGGGAATTGTAGGCATGGGATGGATGCTATGACCATGTCTGTGTTTTGAAAAGATCACTCCGCTTGCGGAGAAGAGAATGGACTGGAGGCTTGTCAAAGTGAAATACCAGCAAACTAGTTATAAGGTTATAGGCTAGTTATAAGTTTGTAAGGTAAGCTCTAAGATTCGGGTGAAGATGTTCGCTTCTTAGAGTGGTGATAGTACAGATTTTCAAAGAGGAGTAATTTGAGAGATGCTTCGGTGGCAGAATAACCAGCCTAGATGGTGGACTGGATGTATGGGGGTTTGGGAAGGAGGATGTCAAGGGCATGTTTATGACTTACTGAATGGTTCTAGGTGGGTCCCGCTCACTGAGATGGAGAACAGTGGGAGAGAACAGGTTTGGAGTGGGTTAGAGGCAAGATCATGAGTTTGCTTTTGGTTATGTTGAGGATGAAACTGTTTGAGATATCCAAGAGTTTCTATCTAAGTATTTAGATGTATGGGTTTAACTTAAACCCAGAGATGATATCTAGGCTGAAAAAGAAACCTTTCATTACTTGTCCGTTGGTGACAACTGAAGCCATGGGTGTGGACAAGCCACCTAAAGAGAGATCACAGAAAATGTAGACTGAATTTTGGCTGTCAAGTTTAGAATAAAGATGGAGTAGAATCTGAGAGAAATGGATAGTTGAGTGAGGGTTGTTTTTTTTTTTCGGGGTGTGTGTGTGTGTGTGTGTGTGTGTGTGTTTTAATGGAAGAGACTTGATTATGTTTTAAAACCATTGGGAAAGAGGCAGGAAAGATGGATTCATGATAAAATTTTATATGAAGTCATTGTCAAACTTAATTTCATACATAAACAACTATGAATATCAAATAATTAACATTTCGGTCTTTAAAAATTATTTTGCTAACTGAAAACTATTTTATGCAGTAGATGGATAGAAAATAAAACTTATGTGTTTGAAAAAACTGCCTTCTAATTCTTTCCTTTCCTTAAATTGAAAAATGTCTGATACAAATGAGTTGCTGAAAATTAGCCATATTAAGGAGGTATGGAAGCATTTGTCTGAGACAGATAATTTAAAATTTTATTCAGTGTTAAGATTATAATGTTTATAGAAGCAGCTGAAGGAAACAAGCAAAGGCAGCATGTTATGTAAGAGGAGAGAGGGTATTGAGTTTTACCCCCAGAGAAAACTGGCAAATTCTATGGACATTGTTCAGAAATTCATGTGTAAATACCATTGTCTTAATACAAGAAGTCATTTCAGGCAGAGTCACTTGGAAATATTTATGGCCTAGTTTGACAGTTTTATTCTTTTTGTACTTCAAACAAGACTGTGGGAATTATGTGTGAATTTGTAAAGAATAATTTGGTTTCGAAATTTAATGTTAGTCTCTTGAAAGCATTCCTCCATTTTTCTCCCAAAGAGCATGAGATCACCTCTTTCTTAGATGTTTATAATAGACATGAGAATACATAGAAATTGTAGTAGAAAATTGCTGGCCATTTTTTGGACTTATTTTCATCCCAATACAATAGATATTTCAAGACTTCTGGTAGTGACTTTATGTGGGAGAGAGTAACCAAAGTTTTTATCACATCGTTGTTGGTGGCCATGGATTGATTTTTTTTTTTTTTCCGCTAAAATTCTGGATCTCACTGGACCTTGCTGCCTCCCACTGTCATAATTTTATGTTTTATGTATACATTTTAGCAGAAAAAGTAAATGACTCAAAGATTATGTAAACTTAAAGAATGCACTTTATGCTCTTTGGGCCTCTGTTTACTCATCTGTAAGAAGTTATAATTTGACTAGATAGATGTTCTCAAAGCTAGATGATGTTTCTTCTAGCTAGAATGTTCTAGAATAAAAATTTAATCACATACATTTTACCTATAGTTGTCTTCGCTTTAGGTATTTTTATCATTTGGAGGTACAGGGAGTGTGTATGGTGAAGGTAGCAGGAAGACAGATAAAATATGTAGCCCATCTTTGGTTCTTCTGTCAGAACGGAAATCTCTATCCAGCTATAATCACTAGGCTCACCTTGATATTCTAGTGGCAGGCAAGAAAATTCATCATCGAAAATGCGAGCAATTCCATGATCGTTTTTAAGGGAGTATGTGTTGTTCAGACGTCCAGTGTCTGCTGAGAGGGCCTGCCTCTTGCATTCATTCAGTTAATGTATTAATTTATTTGAACACAGGTCAGGTGATCACTGCCAGTATCGCAGACATCATTGCAAATTACTCATTCAAGGATATTCTAAGGAAACTGGCTAGAGAGAAACAGACGGACGTGGCTCCAGCTTCCTACGATGACAGTTACCTCGGTGAGACCCATTGCTCAAGATATCTGTGGTTTCTCGAAAGACAGACATTAAATGTAGAGGGAAATTTTATACCTCAGTTACCTGATGTTATTTGGCATCTTATGCAAGTTTTCTTTTTTTATTAACTTTCTTTTCTTTTGATTCAGCCATGACATATAACCTACATGGTTTGACAGCTATTTTATAGGCTCCATAATGGTCTCTTGCACATAAAATATGTTGCTGGTTGTGGATACTGCGTATTAGTGGGGCTGGCCAGTACTACAGAGGCAAGATGATAATGGCTTTTCCCATTTCTAGAGCAACAGCAAGAGACTTTCTAGTTGCTTGAATGATCTTAATTCATTATGCAGAAACCACACGATGGCAATTCACTACAACTGTTTCCCACCTTGGGTCTCCTACTGGCATTCTGAGTGCTCGAAGAATTTTTAAAAAATTATAGTTACATTTTGTCATCTCACCTCGCTTTAAGTGAAATTTGTGGAAAACTATCATTAAATGAGTTAGGAAGCGGGCCTCGTTGGTGATCAGAAGTAGCAAACCCGAGCACAAAGGATACCTTGAAGAGCATCACGTCTGATCACGATGAATCAGCCACTTTAAATGCAATGGCCACCAATTATCCTTTAAGCTGGGTTATGGAGCATGCCTGCTTTAAAAAGTGGCTTCAGACTCAGACTGTGTTGCCATACCCAGAAGCAGGGGATCTATGATGCTTCCAGGATTTAGTACAAAAGTGTTCATGTTGGTTTAATTATTTTTTCCTTTTATAGAACCCTAAACTTTTACTTTACAATATTTGTTGAGGTTTCTGTACAAAGCAGGACTATAGAATTTCTTTCATTTTTCTAGATATATAGCTCATTTGTAAAGCTTTCAAACATGTAATTAGTTTGTTTCTTTTCTTTAAAACAGGATACTCGGTTGCTGCTGGGGAATTTACAGGAGATTCTCAGCAAGGTGAGAGACATTGCTGAACGTAAGTCATTTATAAAACATGGAGAAAAAGTAAAATGACATAAAAAGACCATCTAAAAATGCAATTTTCTTTGCTACACGAAATGTATATAAATAGAATCCCAGAATGTGCATGATAATACTTTGTAGATTCTTAAGTCTCAAAGCATTTCAGAAGACTGAATCCCAAACATTATAAATCTAGTCAAGTAATAAAAAAATTAGTCTAGTAGTCCTGTGTTATGAATGAAAAAAAAATGCAGATGATTAAATGGCTTAGACAAAAGCCATGCTAATTTCTGGGATCTCATGTTGAACATGGTCAAATTAAACTCCCCACCCAGCAATAACCCTACATCTCCACACCGTGTCCTTTTTCTTTTGGGACACGCCCAACCCAAAACTAACAGGATAAACTAGTCCCTCTTCTCACGTGTGGCCCTCACCTTCTGTCCTCTATTTTCGATCCTCTGATTCTGTATCCACCTTCACCTTCCAGTGGCCAAATGCTACCTTTTTTTTTTTAGGCCAGTTTCAAATCTCATTTCCTCCAGAAATCCTTCCTCAGCTTCCTTTTTAAAACTCCTACATCATCTCATTTTTCCTTTCCTAAGGCATTGACCAGTCACTCATTCGTCAAATATTTTTTTGAGTACCTACTACACACCAGGCTATGTGTTACGTGTCGAACACACAGAGGTGAAGAAATGGTCCTTAATCTCAGAGTTTACAATCTATTGGGGCTGATACACGTTAAACAATAGACATAAAATATCTGATTAGAAAATTGTAGTAAGTGCTAGGGTAAAGTTCTAAACACAGAACTAATCCCATTCTTGACCTAATCACCTCCCAGAGGCCCCCAACTCCTAACGCCATCACTTTGAGGGTTAGGATTCCTCATATTTATTTCAAGGGGAATGCACATTTGGTCCATAGCAATACCTATCATATGCAAGACAATGAATGGTAGCTTTTACTTTACTAGTAATATTTATTGAACGGCTTAATCAGCAATTAATATTTGCCATTTTTCATCTTGTTTCCTATGGACCTAAGTGCTTGTCACTAATGTGTTTTAACTAATTCGCAAATAATTAAGAGTAAATGAAATATGGCCATTATTAGGAATCATCACAGATCTTTTCATGGTTTCATGTTGACATTTGTAGAAATGATAATAATTGGAGCCACTTTAAAATGGAGTTAGAGCCACCATCCCAGAGGAACTGCCTTGCACGTCATACGCATCACACCTTTGAGCAAAGTAACCTGTGGACTGAGCTTAAGGCAAAACTGTGTCTCAAATAACTGTTTGCAAAGATAACCGGAAATCAGATATGACTACCTGACTGATGGCTAATGGACTGAAAATTAAAAACGTTCTTTAAAATTAGCATCACAGTGTTAACTTATTTGCACCTATAGAAATTATTTCCTTCTATTGATGTAATTATTTCCTTTCCTTTCCCATAAATATCCCTGGCCTTCACCTCCTAACCAGAACACTCTTTGGGGTTTTGCCTGAATCGGTGCTTCCTGAATAGCTATTCTTTTGGATCCCAAATAAATGCTTGTTGCCTCTCACTCTGGCCTTTTATTTTGAGGTTAACACATACAAATTATAAATTCATTAAAAAATTTATTGCTGTTACAGATGTTGAAGACAGGTGTTTTTTTTCTTTTTTTTTAATTTTAAGTTTTTATTAAATTTGTTGGAGTGACATGGGTTAATAAAATTATATAGGTTTCAAGTGTATAGTTCAATAATACATCATCTATATATTGTATGTTCAACACCCTTTTTTTCTTTTATAAGAACATTTTTCTTTTAAAAACAAGCTAATTCATAAAGGTCTTTTTTTTGCACCATGTTCTTCTATAAGATGTTAAAAGGCAATTTATTGTTGTGGTTAAAAGCGTGGACTTTGGAGCTAGACCACTGTGGGGTTTAAACCCTGACTTTGCCACTTACTAGCTCTGTGACCTAGTTACCTAACATCTCAGCGTTTCTATTTCTTTATTTCTAAAAGATGATGATGATAGTATCAGCTACATCAAAAAATTCTTGTGAAGATTAAATGAATTAATCCTGTATATTCATAGAACAGTACAATGCCTGACACATAAAAGTACCATTTAGATATTAGCTGTAAAAAGAAGAAAAAAAAAAAAACCTTGGGTTAGGGGCCATAAGAGATATAATTGAATCACTATCACCTTTATAAAGTCATTTCTTAACAATCACTTAGCTACTTAGCAAAGAAAACTGCAAAATGTGCCAAATGATTTTTAAACGCAGTGCTTGGCTCTCTCACTGGAAAGCTCTCCAGAGAAGCATTCAAATCTGACGCAAGGAAATTAATGGTAATGTGTGACCGCTCATCCTAGGGAGAGATAGTAGGAAATAATAGTGATTTTCCCGTCAGAGCTCAGAAATATCTAGAAAATGCATCCAAGTTTTAAGTAAGTTTTAAGTAAGTATCTAAAGTAAAGGCAGCATCAGAGATCATGATCTGTTTATTAAAACGCTCCAAGTCCAAGGTTACCCATGTTCGCTATTTACTTAGTTAGATGAGAAGGAGGGAGAATTCTATGAAAAACAGTGAGCAACTTGATGATACATCAGAGAATTTTAATGCTCAATCCTTTAATCCTGAGTGGTACGCAGACGGACTTCGTGGAACTTGAACCTTTGAACTTATATGCAAATTTTTGTATGTATGTGAATTCTTCTGGTGAGAGGATCCATAACTGTCACCTAATTTTCAAATGTGTTCGTGACTCAAAAAAGATTAAGAGAGTCCATTTTCATTTTAGAGTGAGATGTGATGAGCTAAGTCCCAAGAGAGGGATCCAGCCCTAATGCATCCCAGGAAAGTCATCTGATGTGATGGAGAGGATGTTGGCTTTGCTGCCAGTTCTTCGGTTCTTACCTGCTCTGTATGGTGACGGAACCTTTCAAAGCCTCAATTTCCCAGACTTCTGAAAAGGGATAGGAATGACTGCTTTTGAGAGGTTAAATGAGGGAGATATTATAAAGAACATGCTCCATTGTCTGATGGGTAGAAGACATTCGATAAATGCTAGCCTCCTTTCTGCTTCTCACTAGTGGACTTGACGTCCGCATCATGTATTTGGAAGCCAAGGATCTAAATTTTTCCTGAACGTAGTGTTGATAGTAAGAGACTGCTGAGGTTTTCGCCATGAGCTATTGAAATGGTTCTAAGAGAAGTCTCCTATTTCCCCTCCCCACTGAATATTAAGGTAGTTGAGTGACAGTTCTCTTAACTTGCTTCAGGTTCCAAACAATATACTGTCCTGATTGTTTTTAAACGGTTATGAACACTTTGAATCAATATTACATTTAATAACAATATTACATTTAATAGTGTTGTGGCCAGATGAAGTTATAGACTCCAGAGTTACTGAGCATGGTGATGGTTGATTTTTAAAACAAAATTCTGAGTGTTTGTGGGATGTGAGAAGTAGTGGTCGTCACAGATCTCAGATGGCGTAATCCCCCTTAATCTTTCTTGGTTGACAAATCTGATCCTGAAAGCAGTCAGCTTCATTATATCTGATGTAGTCTGTTTTCAGGTGCCAGGAGAATTTAATTCATGCCACATAAAGTAGATTGAAAACCAAGCAGTGAGCTGCCAGTTTTAAAAGCCTTTCTGGCCGTCTATCCAGATGCCTTAATTTTTCTGAACTCCATTTCATTCTTCCCTCATGTGGCTGTCATTGAACTAGCCATGCTCCTGTGTAAAGTTCACCCCACTGCTTTGCACCAGATCTCATCCCCTCTCATGACTCAGAGATGCGACTCTAGCGATTCTGGATTCTCTACCTCACATCATTGAGTTTTCTCGTCCTACTGGATCATTCCTGCCAACATACAAACATGCTGTATTTCTTCCATCTTAAAACAAAAAACAAAACAAAAAAAAACAAAACAAAAACAAACACAAAAAAAACAAAACTCTCTTATCTTACTTTCCCTTCCAGCTACCACCTGTAGATCTCTGCTTCAAAGGAGCCAGCACTCTTTTCTGCTGTACCTCTGCTAATTCCACGGCCCCTCTTCTGTTAACATCACTCCCGTTAGACCACACCCTATCACTCGACTGACGCCGCTCTTGTCAAGCCAGCCAGAGGCCTCCACGCAACTCATCGTCCTAGACTATCAGGCACACCTGGCAGACTTAATCACCCCGTCTTCAGTTCCTCCTTTGGCATCCTAGACGCTGGCAGCTTCTCCTCCGTCTCTTTTACTGATTCTTCTTTAATTTCCCTCACCTCATTCACGTGTCCCAGGGTTTAATACTTGGACTCTTCTTTACTCTTTGAATTCTCTTTGGGTAGTCTCGTTCAGTCTCGCTTCCTTGTCCAGCTCACACTGAATTCCAAGTTCATGTATCCGGTTCTCTACTCAACGCCTCTATGTGAACAGCTATCCTCAACTTAATGTGACCGTAACCAAACTCCCGACCTTCCCGCCGACACATGCTCTATCCTCCGTCATCTCACTAAGTGGCAATGCTCAAGCCAAATACCTCGACGTCAGCCCTGTACTGTGCTCTGTCTCTCACACCCCATTTACATCTTATCCGTGAGCAAATCCTGTTAACTAAATTCTCAAAATCAGACCAGCATCTGGCCATGTCTCTCCTCCTCCGCAGCATCTCCTCTGATCCAAGTCCCCAGCGATGTTATTGCAAGAGCTTCCTAACCGGCCTCCCGCCATCCCTCCTGTAGTCTAAGCCCGGCAGCCAATGTGGCCCTTTAGGAACAGAAATCAGACCATGTCACTTCTTCGCTCCCAGAGACGCTCCAACTCCTTCAGTCTAAGATGACCTAAATGACTCTAATCGTGAAGCCACTAATTACTTGGACCTTATCTCCTGTTGCTCTACCCCTCACTCCCTGTACTCCAGCCACCCTGGTCTCCTTGCTGCCCTTTGAACGTTCCAGACACGCTTGTACCACAGGACCTTTGCACTTGATCCCTCTGACTAGAACATGCTTCTCCCGGATGCTTCTCTCCTAGTATTTACTTCCTTGCTTTCCTCAGTCTTTGCTCAAGTGGGACCTTTTCTAAGTCCTTCCCTAATGACCCTAATAAATCGCAATCCTTCCTCATCCCAGCTCCAGCCCCCTGTACCATTGTACTGCTTAGTTTTCTCTACTATATGTATCCGCTTCTAATATATTACCTAATAGACTCCGTTTGTTAAATTGACCACGTCTTCCAGCTAGAGGATGAGATCTTTGAGAACGGGGAGTTTTGTCTGTTTTGTTCACTGCGTGTCCTATGTTTGTCTCTAAGTATTTGCTCATTAAATGAGTTAATTTACTACAGAAAAGTCTAACATCTAACCCCAAATTAATCTTCTCTGATTACTAATGCTAAGAGCATCAGTGCCCAGCTCTGCTAGAGTTCAGTGCATGGGATGGAGTTAATGCTGGAATTTGTGTTCTAACTTTAGGGGGAAGGGGGATTTGAAAGGAAGGAAGCTCTCTTCCAGGCCCTTCATCTTTCAGTTAAACTAAAATTTTAACCCCGATGAACTACATAATAGTTTAGGTTTATAGAAATGAGAGCTAGAACCGTGTTTGATAATCAGCGTTTCCAACTCCTACCTATCTCAGATGACTGGACAAAAATCAGGTTCCAGTGACTCACCCTGGGTATATAGCAGAGCCCAGGACCAAAGCCACTGCTTTCTGAATCCAGAGCCAGATAAATGTCTGTGCCGTGGAATAGGCAGCCCCTCTCCACCAGAGCTGTGTCCTGCATCTCCAGAACCGAAGCGTCCTTCCCCGGGTGATTGGCTGTCAGGTTGCCTCCTAATCCTGCTGCCAACAAACAGTTCCAGGGGGGCCAGACTCACATCACCTAGGACATGTGGCTTTTCCTTAGGCAACCGAAACTGGATTAACATGTTAGTGTGACAGGAGCTGTTACTTATTACACTGGGACAAAAGATGTCACCACAGTGAAAGCTACAGAAATCAGGGTAAGAGGTTTATCCTACAGATCACGCACAGACCTGAGAATCCAGACTTATGTTCTAGAGGCAGAAACACGTGGAGACTGAAGATGAAAACTGGTAAATCTCCATGTATGACTTTTGGGCTTCTGTTTCCTATCGTCTGCACCAGAAGCAAAATCCATCGCATGCCAAACCGTAACTTCAAACTGCCAGCTGTCTACAGGATGTGCTCATTTACGAAGCACTATCTTTAACTGATTTGTTGTGTAGCTTAAAGGTATACATGTAATTCACCTTCTAAATGACTATTTTTATCACCAGAATTGGTTGCTGGCGTTCCAAGAGGAGCACAGAACTTTGGATATGTGAGTACTAAGAATGCATTACAGGATATTTTTCTTATGTGTGCAAAGAAATGTTTTGTTTTGTACAACTTTTAAACTTTATCATGCCCTTTAACAGCAAGTGCCTACTGATCATGCTTATTCGTTTGCTAGATTTTTTTTTCCTGATCTATGTGCGGTATCAGCTACATAATTGGTGGGTCTCAGTGCAAAATTAAAATTCAGGGTCTGTTGTTCAAAACTATTAAGAATTTCAGGACAATGATAGCTGGGCATTAAACAAAGGGTAGTGTCCATCGGAGCATGGGCCCTGTGTGACCACACAGGTAGTACACCCATGAAGCCAGCCCAGTCTTTGTACATAATCTAGGAATGATTGCAGAGGATCTCACTATTGATGTGATCAACATTTTAATATGCCTTATATGACAGAAATAATAAAATCAATTGTTATCTCACTAGTGCAGCTGTCTCCAAAATTTTTGGCACCAGGGACCAGTGCTCCTATGAGAATCTAATGCCTGATGATCTGAGGCGGAGCTGAGGCGGTGATGCTAGCGCTGGAGAGTGGCTGCAAATACACATAAAGCTTCCCTGGTTCACCTGCTGCTCACCTCCTGCTGTACAGCCTGGTTCCTAACAGGCCATGGACTGGTACCGGTCCACGGCCTAGGGGTTGGGGACCCCTGCACTAGTGCATTAGTATTCCTAGGACTGCCATTACAAATTATCACAAACCGCATGGCTTAAAACAACATAATTTTATTCTCTCGAGAGGCCTAAAGTCTGAAATCAAGGTGGCTGCAGGGTCACGCTCCCTGCGTTGCATCTAGAGGAGGATTCTTCTTGCCTTTTCCAGCTTCAGGTGGCCCTGCCTTTCCTTGGTGTGTGGCAGCTTAACTCCAATCCGTGCCTCAGTGTCCACTGGGCCCTCTGCCATCTGTATCTATGTGTGTCCTCTCCTTTTCTTACAAGGACACCAGTCATTAGCTAATAGGGCCCGCCCTAAATCCAGGATGATTTTATCCCGAGATCCCTAACTTATTTCATCAGCAAAGACCCTGCTTCCCAATTGGAACGTGGAGTTTGGTGAGACACTACTCAAACCCCTTATAATGAGTTACCACAAAAATAGGAAAAGAAAATAGAACTTATGGAAAGAAAATCTTTTAAAATTAAAATATTTTAAATAATTGTTTTTAAGTCTAGTAAACTTGTAATGTTTTTAGATTTGGGGTTGGCAGAATGGATTAAAGGGAATAATTTTTCTATGTGAATAACATCTTAAATTTTCATTTTTTGCAGAGTCACAGTCTCCAATTTCTCACAATAGCATATGCACCAAAACGAATCTATATAAAATTCCTCATTAGATCAGTTGACTGACCATCCGATTAATTGCTCTCAGCATTCTTGAATTTAAATTTTATTTCTCTGCTTCAGAGTAGTAAGCATGCATTTTGTCTGAAAGAATCCCAGAATTAAACATAAACAAAAAGTTCAACTGGATTTTTTAAAAGAGATCATTCTTATGGGCTTACTTACATTTTTATGTTATATATAGCTAACTATTTATCAATCTTCCCCCAAATTTAAAGTGTTTTATATTGTAAATTTTTTTATGACTTTAAATTTTTTTCTCCAATTCTATATCAAATGATGTAACCTATCCAATTTCTGTGATTTCAGGTTTCAATCATTAACTCTACAGATATGACCTTTATTCAGAATTTCACTGGTGAACAGGTAAAGACATTTTAATATCAAATAATTAATGTTACTAGGTATTAATTAGTAGCATATAGTAATATTCATATCATCTATTTGTTCATAAAACAAATATTTACTGAGCACCTGGAAGCTGCTCTAGGCACTTGAACTGTAACGTGCATCAGATGAACTAGATTCTCAGCTCTCATGCAGCAGTGTAGGGGAGGCAGTTGGGAGGGATGACAATTTATTAACAAACAAATAAATGCCCATGATAATTTCAGATAGTGATGAGTAATATAAAGACAGATTCTGATCCTCAAAAGCCAAAATGCCACTATCTGCTGGGATCTGAGAGTAATCCTGTTATATAGTGGCCCTGTATGCAGAGTGACTGGTGGTAAGATCTGGGTACCCGCCTTCCCTCTGAGAAGACATGGGCTTCTCCTGGGTCCCACTGTGTTGGTCAGAATCAGTAGGCCTGGGCTCTCTCTCCTTTCCTCATTGTGACTGGAGCCCTCTCTTGATCCCAATGTTATATGGGGGTTGACCAGCTATCTGGTTCTGCTCCCTTCCTTACCCAGCCACTGGCTGACGTCTCATTAAGAATGGGCCAATTGCCTGAAAAGTGGCTTCTGCCATTCTCTTGCTGTAGCATGGCCTGGGGGCACCCTTCATCCACCACCCTGCGGTTGTCCTGGGTGTCGTGACCTGTTGAAATTGGCCACATTTCTTTAAACAAGGAATGTGGCACTGCCATCTAAGGGAGCCAGTCGTGAGCTGAATTACTTTCTCTGGGCAACCGATTTTCTCTCCCAACCACCAACCCAGGTTACCGAGGTTACCGAGGTTACCGAGGTTACCAGGTAACCCAGGTTCCCGAGCCACTAGCACACCTCCTATTCGAACCTGGCCGAGTTACACCTTGGCCTTCTGGATCATGGCATAAGATACTAAAATGCTCAACTCTTAGTGAGAGATACAAATTTGGAATAATATATTTGTCAAGCAATTTTGATTAATAGAGTTTTTTGAACAAACACAGCATTTCTGACCTTCCTCCTCCCCACGCCCCTCAAAAAAATTGGCGGTTTAATCTATCCATTGCTCTGTAATTTTCAACAAAGCATTTAAAAATGTCTCCCGTGATCCTCTCATGGTAATCATGGAGAAAAAAGGCTGGGGCGATAGTGAGGTTGGATGGATTTATGAATTTTGAACAACGATTCCCAAGTGGTGATAATTAATGGCTTAATGAAAATTTGGCGAGACTTCTCCTTTGCCTAGGTTCGCTTTACATTTTGATCACGAGACGCTCTTAAACATTGTTAAATAATTTGGCCTTTCTCGTCTTCGATACCACCTAGTTCTGCAATCTTGAACTTAATACGTCAAAGATGAAATTACTCTGAGTGAAGGCCACCACACAACACTTGGAATGAGAATTTTACCGTATGTATTTGGAATAGAGAAAAGAAGTAGGAGAATTGAATTACCACACATTTGTTCATTCTCATATTTGTTCCCTCTGCAAAGCGTACCTGGCACCTACTTTAAGCCAGATCCTGGTCAAGCAGTGCAGATGGAAGGGAGGACAACACAGACCAAAGTCTCTGCTTTCTGTGGTGCACACTTTCTGGTGGATTGTAGACCGATTAAATTAGTAGATGATGAGCAGCTGCTAGGTCACCCAAAGCATTGGATGGCAGTATATAGAAAACAAAACATCTTGACAAGTTGAAACTATAGGCCAAATCTGAAAATATTATAAAAACAAAAATTTAAGAGCTAGAATATGGGGAGAGTATGGCACAATGGTTACACTCAGGGAAGACTTAGGAATCTTAGTCGATAATAAACTCAATAGGAATTGATATTCAGATGTGGTTCCCCCGCAGAATTAAACCCCTTTTTATGCTTCAGTGATCTAAAGAGCCCAAAGCAGAGAGTGTGAGTCTACTTAACTCCTCCAGTCAGTGTGCTCATGGGGTATCGTATTTTCTTTGGTATATCACATGGGGTAGCTCTAAGAAAGAGCGGCCAGGATAGTGAATTAACTGAAAATATTCCCATATGCGATTTCATCTGGCAGTGAAATCAGATTTATTCTGTGAGGTTCAAAATTGCAGAGCTAGTTAGGATGAAGATCTAGTAGTTACAGAAGGGCCAGTGTTAGCAAAGAACGTCCTAATCATTGAGTTGCAGATTGAATGAGCTGATTGTTGAACATCTCCAGAGGGCGTCCAAGCAGATGTCAGGGGTGTTGAGGGGAAGATTAGGCATTGGGTCAGGACTAAAGACTAAATGATGCCAAGACTCCGTTCACATCCAAGAGCCTAAGAATTTAAATGCAAGAATATGCTGCGATGAGATTAGTCTTTCAGGGAGAATAGAGACCTGACCATAACAATGATTTTTTTTTTTTTAACACAAAATTTGTCACCGTATGGCTTTCCTTTGCAGATGGCATCGTATTTTGGATATGCGGTTGCGGTGTCAGACGTTAACAGTGACGGGTGAGTTAGTAAGAACCTCCTCACTCACTGTGTATTAGATTCACCCATGAAAGTGTTGTACTTTTTCCCTGATGAAACACATCCTTCCACGCTTCCTTGACAAGATAGAGGCTCTCTTGTCTGAACTTTTTTTTTTTTTTTTTTGGTTCAGGGCAAGAGGATACATCTATTAAAGAATTCTCTGTCATCCTAGTTTGTCTTTACGGAGAGTTTCCACATCTGCTACTTCTAGAAAAGGACTGTTTTACTTAGTTTCATCTTTAATTTTATGGATCGAATAGTCCTTGACCATTCAGAATCCATAGCCATTGAAGAATTTGCTCATCTGTCTCTTTCGCCCCTTAGCACGTGATACGGTCATAAAACATTTCCACATAAATAATTTTTTTTCTCCTGACATTGCTTTAACCAACATACTAATAACATCCATGGAGGAGATGAAATAATATATATATTTTTAAGATTATGACAGTAATTTACAACTGAGCTTGGGCTAAACAACATGACAAATTATGGTTTTGTTTAAGTCATTACTTCAAAAATAAATTATTATTAAACCTTTTTGATTTACTAAAAGCACCTAACTGACAGATAAAACAAATAACCAAATAACAAAACTAATAAATTGAGATGAATTAATTATCCATCTAATTAACATTGTTGGAACAATTACTATGTGCCAGGTATTGTTCTCAGTGCCCAGATTATAGTGATGAATAAGGCAGAATAGGTTTCTGCTCTCATGGAGCTCACATTTTTGTAGAAAGCAAATATCTGAAGAATCCTGACTGTGTTTCAGGATCCAGGATACTAAATACTTTAGATCCATCATCAACAGACAATAGCTGTGACCTTCGCACAGCTAGAAATGTGCTTTATATGTCACGTGGTGGCATATGATTGGAGTCACATTCGGTCACTTTTGCGCCTTTGGGAAAATATCTTTTTGATATTCTTTCATTGATTGTTTCTTGAGCATCGACTATACACTAGTACTATTTTACATGCTGGGATACAGCAGAGACCAAAATAGAAATCCCCACCCTCACAAAGAATACTAGAGTTGGGGGCGTGTAGAAGCTACAGACAGAAACAAACAAGTCAGGTAAAGAATGTGTTACGTGGTGATGAGCATTTTGAAGGAAGATAGTAGAAGGGCTGAAAGCAACCAACATGTCCCTTCAGTAGGTGAATGGATTAATAAACTGTTCTATCCTGACAGTGTAATATTATTCAGCGCTAAAAAGAAATGAGTTGTCACAGCATGAAAAGTCATGGAGGAACCTTAAATACATATTGCTAAGTAAAAGAAACTGATCTGAAAAGGCTACATACTGCGTGATTCCAACTATGTAACTTTATGAAAAAGACGAAACTGTGAGACAGTAAAAAGATCAATGGTTGCCAGAAGTCAGCATGGAAAGGAGGGGTAAACAGGCAGAGCGCAAGGATTTTTAGGAGAGTGAAACTACTCTGCATGACGCTGTGATGGTGGACCCATGACCTGATACATTTGTCTAAACCCACAGAGTGTGCAACACCAGGAGTGGCTCTAATGGGGACTCTGGACTCTGGATGATTATGGTGTGTCAGTGTAGCTCATCAGTGACAGCAAGTCCACCGCTCTGGTGGTGACGTTGATAACTGGAGACACTGTGCATGTGGACGTGGGGTGTGTGTGTGTGTGTGTGTGTGTGTGTGTGTGTGTGTGTGTGTGTGTATGCGTGCGCGGGAACTCTCTGTGCTTTCTGCTCAATTTTGCTTTGAACCTAAAACTGCTCTGAAAAATAAAGTCTATTGATTAAACTTATAAAAACAAAACAGAAAGGGCCTAGGGACTATGAGGAGGAATGCAATGTTAAATCAGGGAGATCGGGAAAGCTCGAGTGTGTTAAGGTGATGACTGAGGACAGCTCTGAAGGAGGTGAGGCGGCAAGGCACGATGATACCCGGAAAAGGGTGTTCCGATTCCCGGAGGCAGAAGCTGCTGGTGTAGTCAAGGAATGTCAGGGATGAGGGAGAGGTAGCAGTGAGGCCTGGGTTCACGAAGGTTTGCGAGCACTGCATTTTCTCTCAGCTGCTTTACCCCGGGGCCACCCACACTCTGTCGCAGATAGAATGAGTCTGTTTGCAAGAGGGACACCTCATCTGGGCGCTACTAGATGATTCTAAGTGAAGCAGAGGCTTGCTCTAGCTTCAGGTTCACAGGTATGCTGTCGGCAGGGTCTTGATGGCCAGAGGCCTTCTGAGAGCTCGTGGCCATAAGCCAGGTGAGGCAGCACAGGAGTTTGAGCCAGAGCAAGAGTAGCAGCGGGAAGTAGAAGTGGCTGCACTCCGGATAGATGTTAAAGGCGCATTTGAATGCCAATCTTATTCTGGAAGCAGATAATTTAAAATTAAATTGCTTTCATCTTCAGCTGTCTGAGTCATGAAAAGAAAGGAACGATTCGGACCACTATTCACAATTTCCAATCTGGATGAACTATATTTGTTATCAGAGCCTTTTAGGAAAAATCAAAACAAAACAAAACAGCTCGAGTAGAACTTGAGTCTCAAACATGGCATGTTGTCCAGATTTAGAAAGCCCGTTCTTTAGTGAAAATGAAAAATCCCATGGTGGCCTTTGGGATACGGGGAGACACATTTCTCTCAACAGATGGTAACACAACAAGCACATGGGCTTCTCCCCTGGGCGCCACACAGCATGTTATAGGACACAGATGAACTCAGCATGTTCTCCTCCGTGGTTCACTCCATTTTGAATCCTTTCAACTTTCCCCCAGTTTCACCATGTGTCCCACAGGGCATTGTCTCCGTCCTGGGAACACGTGCACTCTGATCTATGGCAGAGTTTTGTGACAACATTTACAGTACGTTTATTTTTTGCCATGTTAAGGAAAAAAAAAAAACATGAGAAAAGAACCTCATTGGTTTCCTGCCGATCGAAACAACATGGTAGTAACCAACAGGAATTTTTCAGTGATAATTTGGTCTTTTTTGATGGTTTTCAAAATTGCTATGCACACTATTTCTCTTTTTATTAGACTATATATTCTGAATTCTTTAGACTGCATTGAAAAATGCGTCCATCAACTTAATATTGCTATTTTTAAAAATAAAGTGCCCGTTGATTCTCAGAGTGTATATAATTTGCTGTTTTTAATTACCGAGATGCTATGTAAATTCAAGATCCTGTTAAAAAGGGGTATGCTATGGAAGCCACTGAAGACCTTTCATTCCAAATAAAGATAGACAGCTCATGTGAAGACTGAAATTACAATAATGAAGATATAATTTTCTATTGTCTTTGAAGCACCTGTGTTTCTAAAATCATCACTTGCTATCGTTGGCTGTCAGACAGATACAAACAGGGAAAACATGACATCTTGTGTTTCTGGGTTTATAGCTAGCTGATCCCAGGATGGGGGCCTGAAAACCAGACTTAATAGTGACAGCTGGTGTCTTCTTCACTCTGAGTGAGGACACATCCTCAGAGAAAGCACAAAACAACCTGTCTGAGAAGAGGCCGAAACCTGCCGTCCCTCAGAAATCTTAGCAGAACAAGGAAAGAAATGCAGCAGGCCGTGTGTGTGTCAGTGACTTTTCCTAAGCTCCTGTGATGGCTCTGTGTCAGACACCTGTAGCCTCGTTTTGAGAAAGAGCACTTTGGTCATTCTCAATTTCTGACCACATTTCCAACAGAGATCCTAAGGCTACATGGGATTTGCAGCAAACACAAATCCCTATCTCAAACACAGTTTTCCTGGATATTATATATTTGATGTCCCCAATTTGTTAGCAATTTCAAATGCAGACATCTCTATTCTCTACTGAAACTATTGTAAAACCTAATATTGCTATTAAGCAACAAAATTTTATCATGCATGATTAGCAATGTTTTTTTTCTTTTAAAGTGCCTTCATGTGTAATAACATGTGATGATCCATACTATAATCCAGTGACACTATTGAAAATTCACCCATGAGGAAACTGAGGCACAGAAGCTCAAGATCACACACTAATTAGGGGAAGGTTTTGATTAGTTCCCAGACCTCTTCTGCTGACTTTTACCCAACAAGTTTTTTCTTTTTTACTCGATTCGGTGAACTCTTTACTAAGTTCTTTAAAATACCTAGTAGGAAAAAAATATATTGTTTCAGTCTTCAAGGGTTTATAATCTGTAAGTATTAGGAATTTCCAATCCAATCAGTAAAATGACTGGCATGCGTCTCGCTTACTTTTAAACGTTAGGAAATGGGGTAAATTAGTATATTCGTCACTGAAGAAATTTAGTAACATATAGAATACTCACATAGAATACATATAGATTCTAATAACCTTAATTAAGGGTTGTAATGGAAGAATAAAATATATGTGTTTTACTCCATTTTGGCCGTTGGTAAGAATCTACATTCCTATTTATTAAGTGGTGAATTTTCCTCATTTCCATTATTTTTATAAGCAAGGTCTTACTTCCACTTTATTAAAATCTAAAATCACAATTTCAAAGTTATTTCACCTAAAGAAGTTTAAGATTGTCTTTATGATGCTAAAAACAACTGATTGGTGACTAAAAAAACCATAACAAAATGAAACAACAAAAAAAAACATTTGCTTACAGTTTTTAGTGTCATGGCATATCGGAAAAATCTGTTCGATTATATTAAAATAACTGCACTAGTCTGTTGTGTTTCACTGAGTCATTAGTTATGGTTCATAAATAATTTTGCAGAGCCTATAACTCTTACAATTTCTTTTTTTTTTAATTTACAAAGCCCTTTCTAGCTTTCCCAGCATTGATTAGTGATTAGGAATTATCAGTGGGTATCAATCATCCAGCAGAGTTCAGGACTAGAATTGAGACCTAATTCCTATTTTTTATCCAAATCCCAAATTCCTAATTTCCAGTAGCACCCCCTCCCACCTTTTTTTTTTTTTTATATAGCCTGAATCTTTTCTTTTAAGCCCTGGAGCTGAGTGGATTTGGGCAGCGACCTGGCATAGGATTAAGAATATCATTTGCCTGGTTGATTGTTCATGGTGCAGAATTTACGACTCCCCACATTTTGTGGAATTGAACTGGACTTTCCTTTCTCTGGCGGAGAGATAATTAAGAACTATTGTACATGAGGCTCCCTAGTGAACATCCTTTGACAGCACACGTCATCTTCTCTATCCATTAGACAACAAAAGCGAAGTCCAAATGCTCCAAAATCTCGACATCAAGGGGCAAAAGAGAGTGTCACTAAGTAATGTGACCAAATAAGTAAACTGATGGAAATTTCACCCCCGCCAGAAATTTAGACCAAACGGTTGCGTACATGCTGGTTGGTGGATGATATTGTGAAGCCTGTGACTGTTTTGAAAATGTAAACCAACCTGGCAAAATTAACTTCCGTTTAGTTATCTTAAGATAGCCAGAGCCTCAAACTCTGTCAATATAAACTCTGTTAGGAATTTCTGGACAAACTTAACAAGTGGAGATGGTATTTTTCATCTTGGGCCTAAGCAAGCAAATAGATTGTTTTTAATGGCTTTTGAAATTTATAGTATTTATACTATTTCAGGAATTTGCAGAATTATTATTTAATCCATTGGATTGTTTCTAGCCTCTGAAGGGCCAAAAGGAACTAGATTTAAAAAAATTCTTAGCAGTTAGTTAACTCGAGAGCTAAGTTTTAGAGAAAATTTATTTGAAAGGAAGCAGCTTTTGGGTAACTACGTTTTGGTGCTAGCTAGATTTAGTTCGAGTGTGTTCTCTCATACAGCAGAGATCACTATGATTGAAATAAGTAGAAAATCTAGAAAACTAAAACATAAAGAGATTATGAATTAAACTGATCTCTGTAATGCAATTGATGTTATATTAGTTCTTGCCTATCATAAACAATTAAGCTGATTAGATACTATAATTCTAGTATAGTCTCCTAATCTGTATTCTTTTAATAAATAACTGCATTCTGAAAATTAGTCACGGGCATTAGCATACAATATGAACTATTGGGAAAAAAAGAAATATAGAAAAGTTTCTATGTTAAATCAACACATTGACACCATTTAGCTGCAGAAAACTTGAATTCAGATTCTTCATATTGAATATTCCTGTTGGTAGGATCTCTCACTCTCTATCATTATATTTATGCTCTGCTTTTCAGGAACATATTTTTAATGTTTCTATATCAAACAACATGTAAAGGATGAGAAATAGAGCCTTGCATGGTATTATTAGAGTAGATTTAGACATTTTAAAAAAAAAACAAGTAAAACCTTGATTTTTAAGAAAACTGTGTTTAAACATTAGACATTTCAGTGTATATATACACTACTTTTATGAAATTTAGTGTATATATACTACTTTTATTAAATCGTTTTATATAATAATTAGATCTCATCAAAAACACCAACATGATCCAAACAGAGAATATAGTTTTTAGTGAAAACCTGATCATTAATATTATTTCTTCATAATTGTTATATATATGCATATATACATATACATATACACACACACACACACACACACACACACACACACAATCAGCCTGGTACTATGTATATATTCTCTTAAGATGGCATCCAGCCTATTACATAACTACTTTATCAGAAAGTCAATGAAAAACATCTTTACTAACAAATATTTTAAAACTTTAAATTTGAATTAGATATATTCAAAAAAAGAATTTGAAATAACCTAATAGCGCACATAGCCTACTACAGTGGCTTTCCAATGATTTTTTTTACCTTGTGGCTCAGAATAAAAAATATAATTGAAATTGCAACCCAGTACACACATACAACTGAAATAAAAGTTTCACAGAACAATATTTACTCTTATTGTGGGTAATGCATTCACTCCAGTATTTTCTATTGTATTCTATTTCATTTTTAAATTGCTTGCCAAGACCCATTAAATCGATTTCACAATCCGCCAATGAACTGCAATCCAAGATTTAAAGGCACCAGCCTAAATAATAATAATATATATTGTGACTCTCTAGTGGTATTGCTAGTATAAAAAAATATTGACACTAAGTGCAAAATATTCTATAAGGCACATTGTAGCAATTGGATCTAAGACAGTTATTGTCTCTCAACCTTAAGAGAACACAATTTTAAATTAAGAACAAATGTCTTTCTCTTTTTTTGGCATTTGGAACATTTCAGAAGACTTACACTTCAATATCTAGGGAAATGTATTTCTAAGAAGATAAATCAGTGCTGTCAATACCCTCCGAGAATCCAAAGATTCCTCGGATTTGTTAGTCTTTCACAATGATCGGTCGACTAATTTTCCATTTTTAGAACTTGGTATTGGCAGTAAGAAATGTAGTAGCCAAGTGTGTCAGTCCCTTGTCATGTTCATACCCTCAGGGACCAATTATATGACTTTGTTCCTTCTTTAGAGGATGAGATCATGGTCACGCTCAGTCTCTGCAATAGAGAACCAATGCCTTCAGATGTCTTTGAACTATGAGGAAGCAACACGCATAATTAGGTGTTCAGCAAATGCCTCTTCATACTGGCAATAATAATAACAGAGAGCGAGACAGCCAGGTTCCTGCCAGGGCAGCCTACAAAGCAGGAGAACGGGAATGCATTTTGCTTTTTCAATAGGAAATCTTTCCGTTTGCATTGTTATAATGTAAAACATTGTGTATTCCCATCAATGCTTTCATAATAACTATCATTTATTAAATACTATTGTATAACCTATGTATATGTATGCACATTTGGAGGAGGAGACAGGCAGACAGACAGACAGACAGACAGAGAGATCTTAAGTGACATATCTAATGAAGTAGCCTATTTCTGTCTTATCCACATTCTAGAGGTAATGTAACTTGTTCAATATCATACGGCTAGTTACCAAAAGCCAGATTTTAAATCTAGATCAGTCAAAACTGATGATGTCAAAACTCATGCTATTCCCATGTCATCTGTACTCACTTTTCCAATTGTCTTTATTGTTGTTGTTGTTTAATTAATAAACTTTATTTTTTTTAGACCAGGTTTGAGTTGATAGAAAAACTGAGCAGGAAGAGAGTTCACACAAACTCCCTCTCCTCTCTGCCCTCAGTGTCCCTGTCATTAACATCTTACTTTTCCAATTAGGTCATTGGTATCACTCTAGCACAGAGACCACTTGGATGGACCAGTCACTGCTCCCTGACTCCACTCTGGGACACTTGCCTTGGCTTACAGCACCGCCACCTGCAAAGCCTGCCTCTAGAACTACCAGTCAGAATCTTACCCAGGTCCAAGGCCATCTCCTCCCGGAGCCCCCCACAATGCCCTCCAAGTATCGGCTCTCTTCCTGTCCAGAATCCCCAGCATTTAGTTTGGATCACTCATCCTTTTCCCCTACTCTGCCTTGTTCATAGTCACATGAGTAGCAATTTGACCTTACATGTAAGTTAATTAGGAACAGGGTTGAGCTAATAGTCATTGTATTCTTTAATCATTTATTCCATTATCTTAAACACAGTACACAGGATGCCTATTGAAGCACGCTGAGAAATAGACAGTTGATGAACACTACGAAGCAGGCGAGAAGCTGGAGAGAGGGGTGGAATGTCTCACAGATCGCTATAAAAGAGGCGTCTTGCTCTCAGTAACTGTTCGTACCTCATCTCTGCCTTTCAGAGTAATGATAATACTTTAGTAATTAGGTTACTTGGGAAACTTCTGCATGTTACCTAATCTACATAGGCATAAAAGTCAAATGCAGATTTGTATTTCTGTCTGAAGTCATTCTTCAGGTTATTGCCTCTCCCAGGATAGGGATGCCTTCAGGCAGATTTTAGTACAGATCAAATTATAAATTTTGGTCAATGTGATGTTTCTTAAATTTTTAAAAATAAAAATAATATATGCATAGGTTTTTTAAAAACCAAATAGCTTAGAAGATTCTGTTGTATTCCTCTTTGTGCCATCTGGCTCTGTGGAGGAAATACATTAACCATTTTTTGTTCTTTGCACTCATATTAGTTATGTCTTTATAGCTAAATAATCTGGTTAGGTGTCTGTTTCTTGAATTTTCTTGAACCTTAAAAATTATCTATTAGTTTCTTGCTATAATATCTACATCTACAAAAAATAACTATAAATTCCCTTTTGGATTTAAAATTTTATTGTTTATCTTTCTAGCTTGTATTATCACCCTCTCTGACTTCTGTTTTTCTTAAATGAAGGTAATAACAGCAAGAGGATATCAATTTATTTTAAACATCATTACTACAAGAAAACATCATTTAAATGTATGGTCATATAAATTCTGGACAACCTCTAACCCACTTTAAAAAAACTCTATTTAGGTCTTTTCGTATGTTTTACTTGTGTAACTAGTTTCTTCTGAAAATGCACTCAAAGGCTGAAATATCTGTGGTTTTCTTAAAGTAGTCACTTTAACATAGTTTAAAAGTTCAATGTGATCATTTTAACAGTTCTTATTTTCTTATAGCATTCTATTCTGTAGGCGTAATGAAACGACGAAAGAAATATGATGATTATGAAATGTCCCTTGCAAAAGGAAAAATACCAATGGAAACATACTAATCTAATTGATTGAAAACTTACTGAGAAGAATCTCACGTCTGTGGGTTCACTGACTTCTCTCTTTGTTCCCTCCAGACTGGATGACATATTGATTGGGGCACCTCTCTTTATGGAACGTGAATTTGAGAGTAACCCTAGAGAAATAGGGCAAGTTTACCTGTACATGCAAGTGAGCGCTCTCGTCTTCGGAGACCCGCAGGTCCTTGCAGGCACCGAGGTGTTCGGGAGATTCGGCAGTGCTGTGGCACATTTAGGAGACCTGAACCAAGATGGATACAATGGTGAGTTACGCCAACGTGTGGAAATTGATTCTGTGTCATTACTTAACATTACCGTTGCATGAAGGAAACGATGGACATTTTGAAGTAGTTGCAGTGTTGTATTTGGTACAGTTATTATTATTGGTGTTTGATAAACTATAAAACAAATCTCGTTTTGATTAATTTAGATGTTACATAGAAATTTTCTTATATTCATTTAAGGCATCATGTAACAGCTCTAAAAACAGGCAGCAATTATTTTTAAAATTGATATTTCGATTTAGTGACTCGAAGAGAACTAGAGACGCTTCTATATGTACAGAGTCAAGACGAATGAAAACAAGTTGATATGTTAGCAAGTATATTGCCTTCTGATTAACTAATATGGTTATGATGCTGAATTTTAATTGATCTGTAAGCTTCAGCTGAAAGTCAGCTTCAGGGTTGACAATAAAGCATTATTAAATTCTTAGTTTAGGGTCGTGGTTCTTTAAGTACCCTTTCCTCAGGAAATCATACAAGCTCACACAAAATTTTGCATACATTTTCAGGGCCTTTAAGTTAAGAGCCAATGTGTAGTGGCTTTCTTGATTGACGTTTGAGGAAGTAATAGGATTTGCTCTAATATTCGCATCAGATCAGGTATTGGTCTTTAGTATTTGTATTTTACTTTTATGATTTCTTTGAGAAAACACATCTCAGCAATGTATGGTTAATACTTTTTAAAGTACCATAAAAATAATGCATATTAAAGCTCATGGTTCCAAGGAAGTAAAAAAAAAAAAAAAAAGACAAGTTCATGTTTAACTGATTTGCTGTTTTCAAAAATTGCTCTATTCCTGAGTCCTCATGTAAAACAAATATTGTTAAATTACCACTCAGTCAACTTTTTCATTATATTTTCTTCTATTTGCCTATTTGTCTTTTCTCTCAAACCCTTCGTAATATTTTTAAGAGCTAAGAGGAGCATTTTTAACAACATATAAGGGATTAGTATAAAATGGGTGAATAATGCCAAACTTACTGGGATTAATTGAGGGGACAGACATAAAGTCACTTATTCAGAAGTGAGATCAGTGCTCCTTTACACCTGCCATATGACAATATATCTGTTTCTACAACAATCTGAGCTTTTAGATCATTTATCTTTACCTGTTAAATGAAAGTGGGTTTATAATCCTCATTATGCAATCAAAATCGATTCACAATTTATTCAACCTTATCGGAGTTGCCTAGAAATAAAAAGAATAACAAAATGAGGATGCATACTGTCATCTCCTGCGGTGGACAATTATGCTTTGTGTTGTGGAACTCTTTTTCATATAAAACTAAGTATTTTTGTTTATTGTTTAGAAGAATCTTGATGAACACGTGTAGAAGGTATTTTTCATTCGATGCTATATTTGAGTGGGAGTCGGGCAACAGGGCTCTCTCTAGGGTTCCCAGTCTTCAACTATAAAATGAGTCTTGCCTATCTCGTGGGACGATGTAATCACTAAAAGATACTATCTTTTTTTTTTTTTATCTTTTTTTTAAATAAGAAACTCTCAAGTACCCAGCAAAGGTGCCTCGCCTGGTTCATCCAGCCCTATGGATCAGACCATAGGGCTGGATGTCACTCACTAGTTTCCCAGGTGGACCATCCTCTGCCTGTTCCTCAATGTCAGCTTTAGAGATATATATATCTGGCCGCCTAATCTAAAATAACAACACAATCATTCTCCATCACATCGATAGTTTTCAGAGTCTCTACATGGCATTTGTCACATTCAATCTTTTCTTGGTTATTTCTTTATTCAAACTGTCTATGACTTGCACTATAATATAAACTTTCTACAAGCAGTGTCTGGTTCACCGTTGTACCCACTGCATCTAACACATAGTAGGTACTCAATAAAATATGGATAAAAGACAGTAAATAGTTTACTTTCTGCAGTACCACAAATGTTCTTGAAAAACTTAGCCCTTTGGACTGTATGGTACTGCTCTCTATTGTACTTAATTCTATTCCTAAAACATTCTTCTTTATTTAAAAAAATATGTCTCTGTGTCCCTGTTTGTAGACATTGCCATCGGCGCACCCTTTGCAGGCCAGGATCAAAGAGGCAAAGTGCTGGTTTACAACGGCAACAAGCATGGCTTAAACACTGAGCCTTCCCAGATTCTGCAAGGAGTATGGGCCTCGCGGGGTGTCCCTTCCGGGTTCGGCTTTACTTTAAGAGGCGACTCAGACATAGACAAGAATGATTACCCAGGTAAGCTTTTCTTTATTTTCCCACGAGAGAGTCCACTTCCTGGGAAGCGCCCATACTCTGGGAAATGCGTCAAGTGTCAGCAGCTCTCACTCCAGACAGGTGAAGGCCAAGCTTCCCCACCGCACAGGTGCTTCGTGTATGCGTCCAGAGTGACTTTCAGGAGAAATAGAAGGCAGACAAAACAAACACTCCTTTTCCTGTCAAGAAAAGCAAGATGGCTTTTTAAAAAAACTTCATTGGACATAAAACTTGTCAGCTCTGCCACAAAAGCTTTTATTTGTAACTCCTCCATTGACAAAGACAACTTGTATCAGATACCTTTCCAGAGAAATTTAGTTTAACCCCGTAATTCCCTGTTGAGGTCATAAGTCCTCATAATTAACTTATGAATGTCAACGTTTCTGTCATAGCTCACGTTTTTAGAGCAGAAGTATTTTCCAGCCATATTTTAGAGTTTTCCAAAGATAGATTGAATATTTTAAAGTGAAACAAAAAGAACTGGTTCATGATAGAAATCATAAACCATTATTCTTGATTACCTGACTCATACTGAGGACTCATGGAAACCCATAATAAAGCAGAGAGACATAATTCCTCTTTGGTGCATGCTACATGGAAATATGGATTGATCTTAAAGAAGTATTTTGGTAATCGGCATTTTTAGCAGAGAATGGTTTTTTATGGTTCAGTTTTCACTTTTATCTTGGTTATGGTAAGATGGTTTCAATAAATACTTAGAAATCATTAATAGTTAACTGACAGCTTCAGCTATTTATTAAAACCTTGTCTCTTTCCAACACCCCTCCCCTAATTGTGTATTTTCCACATGTAGAGCTTTTTTGGTTTAGGGCAGCATTCCAATCAACTGACTGCCTAAATAAATATCACTTATTTCGATCCTTCGGCTTTCTCTTCCTCTCTGGGATCAGGCACAAAGCATACCACAGCATATTCTTATAAATTTGCCAAGAGTCTTTCATGGCACATAGACATTGCAGTGGGCTCAAAGCATTGTAAATGAATGCGTCATACCCAAGGCAATTCCAAGACTAGTTAACTAACTTTGTTTTCTTTGGTTATACTATACTATTCTAATCAATGATCATTAGTTTTTGTTTGTTTGTTTCTTTGTTTTTTGGTGTGGGAAGGTTCCTCATACATAATATATTCCATTTTAAATCATCCCAAAATTAGTTCCCTTATATGATTTTTTCCCCAAAATATGCCAGGGTGATTAGTGAAATGCAACTCCTGGGTTTCAACTTTAGACAAATAGTTTCTTAATTTAGGAAGTTACTGCTCTTCATTATGTTTGTCATTGCTTTCCCTTAGTATCAGGGAACTTGACAGACTGTGCCTTCCACAAGATAAAAGATATAAAGGATATTATCAGTCCCATAGCCAGTCTATCAACTTCCTTTGAACTCTCCTAAATACAGGCTAGGAAGGGGAGAAATATGAACCTTTTCTCTCCAGGAACATTCCTTTCGGAGGAGGGAATAAGTAGGATGGAAATCAGAGAAGCTAACGTGACTGCAATGTTAGTAATCGGTCACTTCCTAATTATGTCTTTTTTATCCCTTTTTAACAATCAGAAAAAGGTCATCGAGGCCATTTGCTAGTCAATATCTATCTTTATCTACTAAGCCCGATTCAATTTATAGCAACTAATGACATTAATGCAGTGTATATCCGTCTGTCAAGGGAATGTTCTTCACTAAGGCAGGACTATTAATGCCACTTAGTCGAATTTTATCCCTCAGGACAGTCTTGAAGTTTTCAGAGTTCATGTTAGGTGGTAGACCTGGTTCTGGTCCCAGTTCTGCCTCTTCGATGGGAATATAGATGTCTTGTGATTTATGATCCTATAACATATTCCCTGATCTTCATTTTATTGCAAAAAGAATGCCACTCAAAGAAATCTTTTTTACGTTGACCCTACGTACTTGGGGACTTATTTAGAGGAAAACTGTCTTATGGGCAGGCAACTAGATTCTGACAACTAGTACAGCCAATTTGAAATGTGCAGGCATAATTCAGGAATCAGACGTGCACCGTCCCTCATTTTTCTATAAATGAATTCCATTTAGCTCTCAAGGCTCCATTTCACCATGCAGAGAACCTTAACCTTGTAGTCATTTCTAGATTCGGACTTGACCTCTTTGACAGAACGGCTGTGAGCAGGCCATGGGGAATTAGACTGCCTGATTTGAATTGCCATTGGTCACTGATGAACTGTGTGGTAGTGGATGAGTTATTTGATTTCTTCGAGCTTCCACTCCCTTATCTAGTATTATGGAGATAATACTACTTACTTCCCTGGGTTGTGTGTGCTTGAACTTTCTAGGTTGGGAAAGGATTTTTACGAAATGTTGTAAAATGGCTTAGAATAGGAAAGGATATCAGTCTGATGAAGATGAACAAATCAAAGCTACTTCACTTCACAGACATGTTGGACCACCTAAGATTTTGAACACCTGCCTCCTGAGATGCTGGAGATGAACGGCATACGTTTAAGACTTGACTTCACTCTTTTCTAGCTGTATATTAGTGATGTCATTTCTTAACCAACGATTGTTTCTCTAAGAGAATCTCTATATTTCTATAACTAAGTCTCCCATGTCTGTCCATTAAATTTCTAAATTTCAATTTCCTTATCTCTAAAATTAGACAGTAACATGTTGGTATAAAGATGGAATCAGACTGTTTATGTAATATGAAATGAGATGATGTATTTAAGTTAAAGCGAGGTTCTATAGAACACAGTTTAATTAATGGAGGCTTTTCAATTGAGTTGCAAAACAAAGCTATGTTTTGGAGGTATTCCTTTTCTTAAGCACACTAGTTGATATTATTTTCTTTTGCCTATTCAATTTCCATAGTCCTCAAGCTTAATTTATAAAGGACATTTGCTTCTCCTGCCCCAGACATATAAGACAATGAGAGTAAAACACAGCTGTGGAGACCCTGCTGGGTTGAGAACCACTCATAAAACTCTGATGGTATCCTGGACCCTCACTAGAAACTCCTGCTACGTTCATGAGATTGCTGTCCTGCTGTGCTGTAATTCTACTGCTCACCCATCCTAAGTGGGAGATGAGGCATAAAGGACTTCTCCCATTTCTCACTACTGTGATTTACTGGGTGCCAGGAATGGAAAATGCTCTTTCCTCCCAGCCCCTGAGCCATTTAAGGGTATTTCATCTCATATTAATTAGGCCCAAATTAGGGTGATGGCAATGACAACTGAAAGGAAGGAATCGACAAATAGTGGAAATAAAAAATAGACAAGACTTGGTGATGAATGGCTGTGATAGAAGGGCGGAGGAGGTGGGAGTTGAGTAAGGAAGAGGGGACGTTAACGATGACACTGGAATTTTGATCCAGTGTACCCAAGAACAGTATGGTTTAGTGGACAGACATGGGAGATTTAGTTATAGAAATATAGAGATTCTCTTAGAGAAACAATCGTCGGAATAATTTTCCTAACATTTAGCTTTTTTTAGACTCCTTATGGTAAACATTGTCATCGGCATGCATAAATAGGAGTCATAAGTATTTTTGTTGCTGGCACCAAAATTATTTTTCCTATTCAAAAAATAGATATGTCCAGGTTCCTGCGTTGGTGCTCATTGGAAAACTAGGGTTGACCAGAGGAGTATCTTGTACACATTCATCGAGTGAAAGCATTTCAGAGAAGAAACAGCTGTGATAGTCAGGAATCTCTAGAATTCAATGACCTAGTCTAATCGCGTTACACGTGATTGGATAACAAGGCCATCTGCTGAGTGCATAGTCCAGACATCGGAGGGTGGAGGAGGGGATGTGCTGGTTTTGTAGAGGAGCAGAAATCATACAGGCAATAAAAACTGGAGGAAAACATGGGCTAAATGCCAAGACTACCATTGCGTTCAGGCCCCTCATATATGCTTGTATCATGAAGCCATCTCTGACAATTATACCAAATGAAATAAAATGACCCATTTTCTGTTTTAATAAGTGCTGTGTGTGTGTGTGTGTGTGTGTGTGTGTGTGTGAGCACGCGAACAACCAAACAAGAAGCTACGTATGAGAAGAAATAAGAGGGTGGCTTTTACCAAAGAGAATAATGTATTTTAATCAAAACTTGAGCTCCTTGAATGGATATGAAGTTTAGTTGAACTAAGTTCACATCTTACAGTCAAAGGTTATTTTTACTTCTCAAAGTGCTACTCAAGTTTTTTATGAAAAACAAAATATGGTGTCCTTCTTGAACAAGATTTTCATAATTTCATTATAAACACATTGGAAATTAGAATATTACCATCCTTATAAAAAGATATTATGAATCTAGACTAAATTAAGTCAATTGAAAGAGTTTTTACACTTGAATCCAGCAGTGTCATAAAGAAGTAAAAAATGAATAGAGGGATAAAAGATGGTTCTAGAACCAGTTCTTACAAGACAATGTGACTTTAGTAACTCGGCCTCTCTGAAACTTACTTTCTCCCCTTGAAAGTGATGTGGATGCATGGGATACTTCTCCGACAGTCCTTTTAAGCTCTAAACTTTTCTGATTCTATAATCCAAGGTCTGGACTCACTGCCTCCCCAGATCTGTCTGTAATATTGGGTAGATTATGAAGGCTCTATCTTTGAAAAAATAAAAATAAAAAAGATTTAATTAAACTAGACAAAACTTTTTCCTTAACTTTTTCTCGAAAATAATTTTAGACTGACACAAACATTATAAAGATAGTACAGAGTCCCACAAGTCCTTCTCCCAGCTTCTCTTTATATTGACATCCTACATAACCATAGTACAATTAGCTACTAGTTAATCTGTAGACCATTTAGAAATTCTAATAGAATTTCACCACTTATCTTACCAGTGTTTTTTTTCTAGTCCAGAATCCAATGCAGCATCCCACACTGCATTTGATTGTCATGTCTCCTTAGTCTCCTCAATCTGTGACAGTCCCTTGATCTTCCTCTGCTGTCATGACTTGGACACTTTTGAAG